TGGCCATAAAATATATTTATGTGTTATATAACTTTAATATGATTTATTCCTTATAATCTAAGTAGTGGTGAATGTAAGTGGCTTTATGAGCACAGTCGTATTACTCCACTTCCCAGGTGATCAGATTCATGAAACAAGTGATCCTCTCTTGGATGATAAGCAAGTAACTTGACATCACTTCCCAGTGCAATAGTACATTTACTCATTAGATATTTTGAAATTATTCCAAAATTGATGTGCAGATTGATACCTTTCTTTTCTAGTTGAGAAACTAAACAAATGCTTAATAACTACCTATTTATATCATGAAAGGTAGTATCTTTAAGTCATTCAGTAAATAATAAGTTCACTAGTATATCTACCTTAAATTATTAAAATATAAAGTTCAGTATTATTTAATATTCTTATAACAATGAAATTATTATTCTTTATAAAAAAGACATTATTTGTAGTAAGTAATTTTAATGTTATTTCTTTAAAGCGAATCAACCGCAGCAAATCAGTGGGCACACTAAACTGATTTACTGATTAAATCTCCTCATCCACCCTCTTAACCATTCTGAATATATTTTCTTCTATTTGGGTGTCACTCAGAATTAGACATAAGCTAATTTCCTCAATATTAAGTGAGAAGGTCAAGTATTATTTGCTTGAAAGGCTTTGGCAGATTAATTGATGCAGTAAACCAGGAAGCAAAAGCAGACACTGTCCTCTCAGAAACATTGTGCACATTTTCACCTTTCATATTGCTTTGGTTTTATTTATTTTAATTCAGTAAAACAAGCTAAACTTGCCGCTTTTTTAACAAATGATTGGAGAATGTTATCAGTAAGTGAATAAAGGTTGAGAAACTGGCTTATTTCACTCAACTAATGAAAAACCTGTAGAAACAGGCAATTGTTTTTCAGCAAGTTATTTACAAAATGTCTGGGTGGTGTATAAGATATTGTACAAAGTTAATTAGATATAAATCATTCTTTTAAAAATTATACAAGTATGACTCTATGGTCTTGGCTAGATGTTGAGCTAGATATTTTCACATGTAGGAAGCTCACTTCATTTTCGTATGAACTCATAAGATTTTTTTGGTCATTGTTTTAGAGTTGAGGAAATGAGCATTCAGGGGGTATTTTTTTCCAAAGTGTGAGTGAATGACAGTATACAAATTTGGGTTTACATCTCCTAAGTCCAGCCCACCATCTTTTCATCTACTTCAAGCTTATCACATCATTGATGTGCACTGGATTGGCTGATTCTTTCCTAAGTGTCTATACTCTGCACTAGAAGATAATTAGTAACATTTCTAGTCTCATTCAGCTAAATGATAGCAGCATCCCTCTGGTAGTGCTGACCAAAAATGTCTCTAGACATTTCATAATGTCTATGCTCTGAAGAACAGAAATATCCCCAGTTAAGAATTATTTTATTATAGCACCTCTCCTCCAATTCCAGTCTAAAAGTAATTTATTCAGTTAAACAACATAAATAGAGAGCACAATTGATTAATCAACTATAAAATAAATGAAGTTCATAGAAAAGAGTAAGTGTACATATAGGATGGTGAATCAAATGACCCAATGTAAGGCACTGAGTAATACCTGATCAGGAAGACAAAAGAGGAAATCAGGCAAAGCGCCCTCACAAGTTGATATAAGTGGAAAAGTACCAGTTGGAAGAAAAAGCTTAATTCATGTGTGACGTTACAGTGGAGAGACTGAGTTCCACAAGTGTGTAAGCGGACAAGTTCAGGAGTTCATAAATATCTGCAAGCAAAATATATAGTGAACCATAAGCCTGATAGGTTCCAGATACTTTAAGCTGGAAAAGTACAGAGGAGGACTAGGAAGATAGGTCCACAGACATGAGACAGTAGACTAACAGACATCCAAACTAAGACAAAAACCATTACAAAATGAAATTTCTTCCTGTGCCAGGAGTGATGGCATAGTACCTGTAAGCCCAGCACATAAGAGGCTGAGTCAAGAGGATCACAAGTTCAAGCCTAAATTGGACATCTTAGGAACTTAGAAAAGACCTGTCAAAAAATTAGAAAATTAGAACAGGTGAAAATGTAGCTCAATTGTAAAGGCCCTTGGTTCAATTGCCAGTACAGAAAAAAAAAAGTCTTACGAGTAGTCCCCATTGAAAGGCACTTTAAAAAAAGAAAAAGAAAGGCACTTTTTACATTGATTGTCTATTGAAATTAATGTGATGAACAGTATATTATGTAGTCTTATTTGGTATAAATTATAAATATAGTAATATGAAATATTACTGAATAAAATATTATATTACCTTCACAGTAATTAGAAATTATCCTATGTGACTATTATGTGAGCCACAATTACAAGTTTGAACTGCTAAGAGTGATTCAGCGATTCTCCTGTTACTTTATTACTTATTCTGATTGTAATTTAAAACATTCCCATATAATTTTAAGTGCCATTAAGTTCTAATGCCGATACTACACCAAATAGTGTGTACAAAGATAAGTCACTTTGGAAAGAAGTTAAATGTGATAAGACTCCCGAAGGAAAGCTAACATCGGCCTTAGGTGTAATATAGGGAAGAAAAGCCGTCCCAGAGTGGAAATAGCACTAGAGCCAAGAATGAGATTCCATAGTTGCAGATTTATATACACTGGGAACACACTTGCCCTACTTCAACTTTATTCCAATAGGAAACTTGCCTAAGTATTATGAGTATTTTTATTTATTCAAGCTCTTAGGGAAAATGTCCTCATAACATAGAGTATTAATATTTTGGCAGTAGGAACTAAATCCCAAAATGCAATTGCAAATCATTTGCCAATTATTGTAAGCTCTAAGGAGTAAGTAATAAGAGATACTAACATTAAGAGAAAGTTCAAAATTTAGATCTGAAGAAGCACAGAGTTTTCTAAGAAAGTTGTATTTTATGCTGTGACTTACTGGATGTGTGGGAGTTTGTCAGGTTGAATCAGAGGTGAGATTCTGTTTGGATTGGTTAAATCCAAACAGCTTCCTTAACCAGGAAAACAGGCTGGCGTACTTGAGAAACTGATACCTGGCTGAAAGGGGAGTGGCAGAAAGGCCAGATAATGCAGGGCTCTGTAGTCCAGGGCAAGTATGCAGCAGTGACCAAGCTCGGAGAGGAAGACTGCGTTCTTGTTCCGGTTCTGCTGGAGTGATGAGGTTGATTAAACTTCTTGCCTCTCTGTTTCAATTTTCTCATCAATAAAAATGAAATAATAGAACTTCTCAAAGAACTTGTTCTCAGGTTTAGCAAGTTAAAATATGTCTTTTTTTTTTTTTTAAGAGATTTTTTTGTTAGTCCAGTGACATGCTGTTGCAGGATTTTAAATGACGTTACCTACTTCCTTTTTGAAAAGGTCACTTAACTGGGCTTGCCAGATAGCTCAGCGGATTAAAGTGCCTGCTTAGGCAGATGCAGGGAGTGGGTTCAATCTCCAGCAAGCCCTGCCAGCTCCCCTTCTCCCCCAGGACACACTGAGACAGCGAATGAGACTGAGAGTGGTGGCATGCACCTGTAATTCCAGCGCTTGCAAGGCTCCAAACAGGAGAATCACTACAAGTTCAATCTGTGTAGTGAGACCCTGTAGACCCTTTACTAAATACATAAAAAAAAGTTCATTTTACTTACAGCTCTGATTTGAGAACACCTTGATGGTGAGTGAAAGGATCCCAAGGCATTTTGAGCAATGCATAACATTTTAAGAACTTAAGAGCAAAGGGTCCAGTGTTACATACACTTCACTGTAATGTTATGTGTGGTAAACACCGATCAGATTTTAGCAGCATTCTGTATGCTTAGGAGCTAAGTTAAATTTTGAAATGGTTTTGTTTTATTTACCAACTGTCCTTGTTTCTTGTGTGTTTTATTTCTATGTGATACCCCCTCCAAAGTGAAAACACCATAAAGATTTATAGGTAACTTTAAAAGAAAAAAAATATAATTTGAACAACTTTAAATAAAGTAGCAGCCCAGGTATGAGACCCATTTGAAGTTCTCTGCCTATCTTTTTACATCATTAAGAATTATATTGTTTTCTTTTACATGATCAATCTGTATTATATTGTTAGGTTGTTGTACTTCAAGTCTCCAATCCCTATTTCCTTTGTATGCATATACTGAAATGATTTTATTTAATAAAAAAGAACATCTCCTGTGTGGATTTTAAATTTCCCTTATTAAATATTTATATTTTCAAAATGTCTTTATTTAATTGAGTGAAGTGCTTGGTGCCATTTCAAAATAACCTCAGGTGGTAGGTGTAATGACATATCAAAGATTTGACCTTTAGCATTTTAGGATTCTATTTATCTGCATTTTCTTCTGCATTCATTTAGTCTTAATTTATATGCTATTTCTCTGTATGATTTAATAAGTAGATGTATTTGGAGTAAGATTCATTAACCATAAAATATATATCTGAATGCATATATTTTGTGCAATCTGACTAGTGATTTTAACTTCATTTATATCACAATTATGACAAGTAGAAAACACTGTGTGGAAGACTGTTCGGTATTTGCACAAACCTCATTCATTCTCATTAAATGCTTAGCAGAATAGACCCTAGACCTCCTAAACAGATGCCCATTCTTTCACTTCCCACTTCTTTTCAGTTGATTTATAATATTGTTTTATTTACCTAGAGATACTCTATTTTCCAGATCTCTGCTATTCCTTTAAAGAAAATTGAATGTAATATTTACACTGATATAATTAAATTAACATCTTGCAGTATCTTTCTGTGTGCTTTGGTAGCATAGATAATCATTTGTCTGGGTAGCTTTAAGACTACAAGCTGAGTTATGGAATAACTATCAATTATAATAATGTGATATAAATACTGTTTTATTTACTCATAAGCATTTGTACTGATTTTTAGAAGTGGAAATTTCTAAATGGAGATTTTTACTAAATGGATCATTGAAAACATGGATCATTGATGGCTCAGCCTCTCTTATTTTTAATTTTTTTTTGTATTTTCTCAGTTTACACAAATCATTATCTCAAGAAGAAAGCCTGAAGGATCAGTTTAACCATACTCTTAGTACCTATGAAGAAGCTTTGAAAAACAGAGAGAACATCGTTTCCATCACTCAGCAGCAGAATGAGGACCTGGCTCGCCAATTGCAGCAGGCTCTGGCAGAGCGAGCCAACATGGCCGAGCAGCTCCAGCGGGCCGAGGCGGCCTCCCAGGTGGCCAAGGAAAGGGCTCAGAAGTAAGTAAAAGTCATGGAATATTTTAAAAACAAAAAACGAAGCACAACCTCTCTTTTTCTTTTGAGAACTAAACACTATATATGCAGTATCACTTATACTGTAAATGTTCAAAACAAATATTACACCAGTGAGCATTTTTAGATTACAAATCATCATCCACTTTCGGGGTCCAAAAATTATTTTCTTTTGGATATTACTCCTTCGGATAGGCTTTTTATTTAATAACTAATCTTCATCAGTTATTGAGGCCGTACTATTTAAATCCTTCCACACCCCATGTTAATAGGCAAAGTTGTTTGCTAGAGGAAGAGACAGTCAAGTTACCACCTGTCCTCATTTAGCTTCCCGATAATCCTGCTGAAATCAACTATGACCTTGCAGTCTGAGACCTCTAAATGCACAGAATCCAGTACAGTGAAATTAATTTTCATGTGTTGTTCTTCTGAAGTATTCAATACAGCTTTTCACAGTGCATAATTATATTTGTTTATTTTGAATGATCTTTTGCATTTTTATTAAATTTTAAATAATGCCGCATAATCAGTCATTCTTTATGCCAGCTAGCGGAATGTTAACAACTTACTAGGCAAAGGTGTCACTTATTAATTGATGGAATTTGAACACTGTAGCTGAGTTTTCTGAGGAAATTTTAATATAACAGAACGTGTCACTTCCACCTTCTTTATATATTGTTAACTGCACTACAGCTTTCACAAAATCTCCTTGAATTTCTAATACATACCATTTTCCCTAATATGAAAATGAAAGTTCTTTTCAATTTTATGGTATGAAGCAGTGCTCACTTCAGTGTTTCTTGCTTCCTGCTGCTTCTCATTTCAGAATAAATCCTCTAAACCATTACTTCAACATCTCTAAAATTATATTTCAATTACTAGCCCAAAGTGAGGTGAAACTGTAGTCAAAACCATTTTAAAACAGTTTACAGATTGTGTATGTTAATCTCTACTACCAAAGTACCTTTAAACTCTTGACCTATATAAATATTATACTTTTTTAGGTTTAATGATTAGGTTTATATTCAATCACAAACTAGTTATTCACAAAGTACCGTAGCAGTCTAAGAGCCATGATGTGTGAATTATACTGCATTTCATTGTAAATCACAATCGGCAACTTTGATGGTCAGGACCGGATTTAGTTATGTTTGCTTAAGTCTACAAGTAATTTACAAGGTTTTATTTACATATAATCCTTTAATTTCTGTATATGACTAAAATTCTTTAAAACAGTAATACCCAGACCTCAATTTGGTTTTCAAAAAAATAGAAATATTGTCAACTTCTTATTTTTAAATTTTAGATCTCATTAATTGACATCATTTTGTGAAAAATAAAAGAATTTTTGTGTACCAAAAAGTCAAATACACATCACCTCAGATAATGCCTGGAGTATTTTAACTGGTAGACAAACTACATACCACCTTTGTTTTGCTTATTTAATCGTAGACAGATGAAAACTTTTTCATGGAATGACACCAATCAATGGATCAGATTTATGCACAGCATAAATACAGTATTTATAACAGTTAAGTGTTAAATTTAAATATTAAATCTCATATTATGATTTCCCACAAGACCTAGATAAAATATGAGCAAGCTTTTCTTTCCTACTTCAATTTCTTATATTTTGTTTTAAATTGCCATGATTTAGGCAGAGTGTTTCTTCCTTGCAGTTAATGTGAACATCAGTCTGTTTTACTTGGTGTAAGATGAAGATTATCCCTGAGAAGAAACCACCTAGTAAGACTTCGTAAGGTGACTTACTTTCGTCTGCAGTCTGACATATCAGTGAATATTTTGCAAGTCTTTTGAAAATCTGTCAGTATTGCAACCAGTTTAACATGAAAACTAAAGAGGTTTGACTTACGTTTTTCCCTTTGCAGCCACATTTCTTCAATAATTGATTCTTAGTCGCCATCGCTAACTTCTCAGCTCCTCTGTACTTATTTTCTTGTGGCTGGTTCTTATTCTGAAATTGTTCTTTTCAGAATCAACAGTAACTTTCTAACTATTAAATTAATGAGGGGGCCTGCCCATTAGCTCATTTGTTTAAGTGCCTACTTAAACAAAGCACTCATGCTTATGATGCTGTGGTTCAAACCCAGATACTCACACCAAACAAGGAATGCCCTCAAGGCATCTTCAGGCCGCAAAAAAAAAAAAAAAATTAATGATCTAAGGACTGGGGAGATAGCTCAGCAGCCTAAGTGCCTGCCTCACGAGCACAAGGTCCCAAGTTTGATCCCTGGTACCGCAAATATAATATTAATAATTAATTAATTGTCTATTTTTGACCACATTTTGTTTTACAAGTAGATGCTCATGGTGAAAATAAGGAGGTGTGCTTCTATGTCTGCAGCAGCACAGCACAGTTGTTTACAAGCTCAGGCTTTGGATTCACAATATGTAGGTGTGAACTTGAGCATTTTAACGTAAAGCTTCATGCTAACATTGACAAAAATTCTTCTGCCTCATGACATTTTATGAGACTAAGATGAAATAATACATGTAAAAGAACAGTATATGTTATATATCCTCTTGTCATCTTTGTTGGTACTGCACTGCCTCATTCCTCAGAAGAGCTCTGCCTTTTCAACACTAACACCATTGCCTGAATTGGTCCCCCTGCCTGGAGCCTTTTGCCGTCTTGCCCATGAGAGCCTCTGAGAGAAGTGTAACATAGAAGACAGAGAACAGGCTGTATAATCAAGTGAGAAAGTCCTGGTTTGAATGCCAGCTTCCTACTTATTGCCTGTGAGACTTGGGGCAAGTTACTTGCCCTCCATAAGGAAATCTCCCTCTGATAAATTCAGACAGTAGTACTGACTTCAGAGACAGTGTTCTTGTGAGGAATAAATTTAATGTCTTGTAAAATACCTCCTGCAGTGTCACTATTCTAAGCCTTGTATAGAACATAAGTATGATTATATCCAGAATAGCAAGAGCAGTTCAGTTGCATTTTCTCTATAGTCTTCTCCATCTTTCTAGAAAGTAAAAGCATTCTCTTCTGTGTTTTATCAGAAAAAATGTGTTTAAAAGTATTAGAAACTTTTCCAGTCAATAGCATGTTCACTTTGTTGAATCTTAGAGCCTGTTGCCATGCAATAATATAATTATGCAATAACATAGTTATTGTGCTGTATTATTTACATATTCATATATATTTGTGTTATTTATGTGCCTTTCCTTCACTAAACATAGGAAACATATCCTTAAAATTTATCTGATACATCTTATCCATTGAGTACTTTACAAATGTTATTTTGAAAATCAGGAGGGAGGTGAAAAGCTTACGTTCTGATGTCTGGGAACACAGACATTCTGAGACATAGCCATCTGATCACACAGTAAGTATTTTAGACTTACTAAGGTTAGTAAGTGTACCAGTGACAAATGCTGTGAAATTTTATTATATTTGTATTTTATCATTTAATGCTGTCCACCCTTCCTTCTTAAAGCCTTTTCTTAGATTCTTTTCCTTCTACTACTTGTTTATGTCTACTCTGTTTCTTTCAGGTATTATGGCTACCAACCATCCCTCAGTAATGATTCCTCTAAAGATTACCTCTGTGCAATTTCCAGGAAACATCATCCATTTTATCGCCTTAAATCACTACCATACCCAAATAGTATGCAGAGATTTGAGTGCCCATCTCTCTCCTGGATCCAGTGTTATGTTCCCAATTTTTTTTTTTTTTTTTTACTTTTCCCTCTCTTGAAAGTAAAGTCTTCCTCAAACCCCTGCATTTTCTGTCTTAGTTCATCTTTTTCACCTTTCATATTCCCTTTGGCACCAAATTCTGTTGTCTGTTGCCTACACATCTGATTCCGTACACCCTGTTCGCAGTAATCAGTTGCATCTTCTCAGGTCCTGATCATTTCCCATCTAGTGCATCACAACAACTATAAAACTCATCTGACCACTGTTAATTCTTTCAGGTTTATCCTCCCACTGTCAGCACGGCTCATCTTTCTCACACAGAATTTACATCGTATTATTTTCCTCTTTAAAACAACTTAGCATGACACATGCAGCCATCACTGGCCTTCTCCCATCATCCTAGCAGCATTTGCTTCCACAGCCCTTACCGCATATCCTTCTACATACTACTCCTTCTTAGAACATATTCCTGCCTTTTAGTTCATAGCCACACTTTTTTCCCTGAATCCAGCCCAAAAATTAATCCTAGAATGAAACTTTAGCTAGCATCTTCCATCTTCCTGTTTCTTTATGTCCTTTTCTACTTTTTCATAGTATTTAATCCTTACTTTTATTAGGGATCTTAATCTTCTGGGGGGTTATACTTGTTTAATATGTGTATTTTCTATCTACTTTTTCTCCTCGATTTCTCTTTCTTTTATTTATTTATTTATTTATTTATTGCAGTACTGGGGATCGAACTCAGGACCCTGCACTTGCCAGGCAGCGCTTATTCTACTGAGCTATCTCCCCGCCCTCTCCTAGCTTTCTCAAGACATTAACAATCCTATTCACTTTCATGGCCCCATCTCCTCCAAAAATCCATGTAGATGCCTGTTGTAAAGTAGGTGCTCCATAAATGCTTACAAACAAATGAACTAATGTGATTTAATGGGTTAATACAATAATGAACTAAAGCAAAAGCTGCTCTGCTCAGGAATACATTGGAAGAGTTTAGTGTACTCATATCTGCTTTATGCCTTTTGCCCACCCACTGCCCAAAGCATTCCAGTTTTGTAGCAAAGGATGACTTCCGTGGTGGTTGGCCGAGTGCACTTTCCCTCACTGGAACCACTGTGGACTTTTTCTCCTAGGAACTACAATCTTTTATTTCCCATGACCAGATTTTAATCTTATTTAACCACCTACTTTCACAAATTTTAAGTAATTATAGCATGTGAAATCTTTGGTAATAGTAGAGCAAGACTATATGCTATTGTAATATAGGATACCTAATTGTAGAATTTCAAATTCATTTTTTGTTTCATGCAATTGTTTG